TGCCCTTGATTGAGGCAAAATGCATTTTTTCTCAATAAAAACAAAAAAGTACTATTTCATTGTACTTGTGTGAAAGAAAAAGTCAAATATAAAAATATTTCATGGATATGTTTATAACCTTGAATATATTTACTGTAGTTTAGTTACTCTAGATCTGATATTATATTTAAATAATTAGGTATGAACGTCTGTTTATTCCGAAAAATCATCATGTGATCTTTCAGAAAATTAAATTAGTGAATAATTTGATGAATTTTCTCTTTGTGATATTCCAATATCCACTTAAATTATTATGACAACTTTTGATCTGTCTGTAACAGGCAATGCGAATCTTGTAATTTCATTTTAGTAAACTTTGCAATGGAAAATAACAGTTTAATAACTAACAGTCGTACAATCCATAATCAACCATTGATATAGTAAATAGAATTTTCGTTATTTTAATGATTTGTTAGCTGTAAGCTTTAGCTCGTTTTAAATGCATTTCAAAAATGTCCTACCATTTCTGTACTTTATGAGTTATTCGAAATAAAATTCTGAACCCATTGCTATTTAAAAAAAAAAAAATTGAATCCACTTCGCTCCTTCCATGGGTACGAATTGTTTCATTTCAACATTATATTCTTACTGAAGCAATAGGGCAAATATAAATAACTGAAAAAAATGTAAAATAAAATATTTATCTGACATGATTCTTTCCGATTTCAGTGATTTTTTTTTGTACGCCATTCACGAAGCTTTTAATTACTCATAAGTTTAATGAATCAAAAATGTATATTTTTAGTTATTCGCAAATTAAATTTTGAATCCATCGCTACTTTTTAAATCATTTTTTCGAGGAAGTATAATGTATACATAAATTAAAAGGGTTTCAAAGAGAAGTCAAATTTCATTAAAATCGTGACAGCCGTTTTGGCGCTATATTCTATAGCGACACAAGTTTTTCGCCCTATTTATATAGGGTGTCCCAAAATTAACGTAAGATTTAAATTAAATAAAAAACACAGTTCTTTCTTCTTTTGTTTCCTTTTTATTTGTCAATTTAACAGCTGGTAGTTTTGGATTAATAGAAATGGAGCGTTTTACGAGCGAACAATGTGTCTTCATTGTTGAAAAATATTTTTAAAATAACGAAAGTCTCGCGACAATAGTTATAAAATTTCGTACAAAATATCGTCGGAATAGTGATTTAACTTTATCAACTGTGAAGAAAGTGGTTGAGAAAGTCAAGCAGACTGAATTAATTGGTGATGTTAAAAAAGACTGGTCGACCAAAAAAAAAAAAGCCGTTGAAGTGTCAATATCAAAGCAATATAAATGGCCGCTATTTCATTATTTTTAAATATTGGTCAACATCACCAATTGATTCAGTCTGCTTGACTTTCTTAACCACTCTATTCACAGTTGATTAAGTTAAATCACTCCTCCGACTTCATGTTGTACAAAATTTTTGAACTGTGTCCGCAAGACTTTCATTATTTTAAAAATATTTTCAAGAATGAAAAAATATTGTTCCCTCGTACAACGGCTCCATTTTTATTAATTCTAAACTATCAGCAGTTAAATCAACAAACACAAAGGAAACAAAAGAAGAAAGAACTGTACAAAGAAAAATAAAAAAATTAATTTAAATCTTGCGTTAAACATAACATATGTAATTAACTATAATAAATTAATACAATTTATGAAAATCGCACATGTTTATGTATATTGGAGTCCCAACGTTGCTCATACAGCACGTGTTTAGGGATGCACGGTTCCTCGTGGAACGGAGTGAGTAACCGTTCTTGCAGTAAAACGAAACGAGGAACCTTTCTTGAAGGGAAAAAGAACGAGGAACCGTTCTTGCAGGGAAACGGAACGAGGAACCGTTCTAGCAGTGAAAAAGAACGAGGAACCGTTCTTGCAGGGAAACAGAAAAAGGAACCGTTCCAGTTGGGGAACGGTTAGTAACGTTTGGGGACTATTTTAATCTAGCAACCTAGCCGAATGCGCTCGGGTATTTCCGCTTGTTATCGGTCCCACATTGCCCCTTATTTCTCCTTCAGTTAATCATCAAATTCTTTCATAGTTTATATTTTACACTTTGGTTTATTATTTTCAATAATCAACCATTATGATTTACCAAAAAATTCAAAAACTTAATCCCCTCTCAAAATTTGAGGTTTCACGTTTCAGGATGCGTAAAATTCGAAAAACGAATAAAAATTTTTTTATCCGTCCGCTGTCCGCACATTTTCTCCGAAACTACTGGACCGATTTTTTTCTAATTTGGATATAAAATCAGAGGTCACCCGAGGATTATAATCCTTCATCTACATTACTATCCGCCTTTTACTTTCAAAATGAAGGCCGAAAAACCTGCGTAGCTATAGACTGTAGCGCCTTAACGAATGTAGCGATTTCAATGAAACTTCACTAAAGTCATTTTCTCTACGACCTTTAAATTTATCTATATAACATACTTCAACGAACAGAAGCTGGAAAAAAAGTTACGAGGGATGGTAAAATTAAATTCCGAATAACTCAAAAAGTTTACACTTTTTTGTAGATATTCTGATAAGATGTTTCAAAGGTATTTAAATTCCCTAAAAAATAAAGGAAGTTTCATCGAAATCAAATCACTATTAATAGAGATATCGCGATTTTTAAATATGTTTGGTTTATTATTTTCAATAATCAACCATTGTGATCGACCAAAAAAATCAAAAACTTAACCCCCTCTCAAAATTTAAGGTTTCACGTTTCAGTTATTCATCAAATTCTTTCATAGTTGTAAAATATTTTACATTTTTTTATTACTGGTAACCAGATGAAATGGTTCATTATTTCAAATAATAAACTTAAAATAAAACTTGTATCGAATTTCAAAATTTTCATTTATAAACCTCAACTTAGTTAATATAGACTTAAATCTTATTAAACAAAGATGTTTTTCTAAAAGTGGGGTATCTGTAGTCTAATTGGATGATTAAAAAAAAATTGCGAACAATTTATAATTTTTTAAAAGAACATAATTTAGTTTAGTTTAGCCTATCAAAAGTGCTTTTCAAATTGTTTTAATATTGGCAAACTCTATTTTCATTAGAAGTAAATTTTGTCTAATTACAATGAAGCATTTGTTATTTACTTAAATTAAATATTTCTTTCGTTACAGCTTTCTATTCAACAAAAAACACGACTTGCTTATAAAACACAAAACTTGGATTGCGATATTTTCTGCTGAAATTGGCTCATTGTTTTTATGAACTTTTTTGTAGCTCCTGAGATTTGTTATCACTTCTACAATAATTTCGCTCAACTTATGTGACACCCTGTATACTTTAATTTCACAACTTTTTTTTCTGACTTTCTGGGGGATTTTTTTATTCACATTTAACAGAAAACTGATACTCAAATTTTGGCCCAAAAATTACAGCAACGGGTCAAATAAGAATTAGTGGCCAAAATAGAAATAGATTTTAGATCACTGGTTCAGTACTTGAACACTAAAGAGAAACTTGTGAAAGTTAACAAAAATAAATTTCTATTTTATATGTATATGTATAATTTATTATTTCATAGATGTAGAATTTTTCCTTGTATCCATCCATATCTTCAAATTTTAGATACTGTAATTTTCCATTTTTTTTTTTCTCCATTACCCAAACAGGTCAGCAAATTTCCCCAATACCTACCCTTACCCTGATTTTCCAGTTCGAAGTGAAACTCCTAGCTGAACACACCCGTAAGTCTCTTATGACTGCCACCCAGGACCATCTCCTTCAGACCAGGACCCAGGACCATCTCCTTCCTTTATAATGTAATGGTGAATTATTAAATATTCAATAAATTTAGAGATGCTTGAGCATGTATGAGATACATTCCACCACATTTTTAGAATAATATCGAGTTTATTAATTTGTTTTGGTAATTTTTCAACAGCTTAAATTTTTCCAACCATTATTTAGATAAATCACAAACCTCATATTTCTTCTGCAACTTTTGTGTTTTATTATTTCTCAATTTCCAAAATTAAGTTTTTCAATTTTGAACCGAAAGGAGAAAAAATAAAGTCTTAATATTCTTCTACTTTGACTGTTGTTTTTGAGAGTATAGAGATATCAAGGTAACGTAATTAACATTATGTTACTATTAGTTTTCTTCCATCTCTATGTCCTAACTCATAAATATGTAACAGTATATTTTAATGGTTTTAAGACACTAAAGCCCAAATCTTAAAACAATATTTTGACCCTAAAATGACAACTAATAAAAACTATTATATGTTTTCATTTTTCATAATTTAAGGCCATATTCCACCATTATTATATTTCCTTTATATTACCATTCTTGACAACATTTCGGCTTAAACAAGGGCCATTTTGAAGTTTTAATTGAGTCCTCCAACTAAATATCCAAAGTCAATATAGTTTTTCTTAAGTTAAGGAGAATTTAACTTGTCCTATTATTATAGATCTTCCCCTTCATCATCTATGGAGGGACTGTAGGATAAAAAAATATGGCCTTAAATTATAAAAAATGAAAACTTCAAGACATCAAAATTAAGAAAAATGAACAGAATAAAAACTAATTTTTTTTTATTATTATGAATGCTTGCCCTGAAGATGGCCCAAATTTTTATGTTGATATGGTTTTACAAAAAAAATCATAAGGACTATATGTTATTTATGGTAATTAGATTAAAATAAATCAAGATTGCTGATGAAGAACTTTTTAAATTTTTAATATTTTAATAGAATTTAGACCTGAGTTTCTAAAATTAACAATTGAGAAATAGCATAAATTATGCATTACCTGAGCTCATTAACTTTTGGTAGTGAGGAAAGCAAAAGTAATAATAAAGTATTGAAATTAGGAAATAACAAAACAATATGTACATAATTAAATAAAAATATGTTATATTACAAACAGTAATAAGTCATATATAAATGTTCTTAGATTCTAATTTTAATTAGATAAAAAAACATTGGTCTATCTTTATAAATAAAATTTGTATTTTACTGTGTTTTGGGTAATAATTTTGGTTGCTGCTTTATCGCAGTTATATCCAAAATTTTTCCTGAATGATCGCTTGTCTTAGATTTCTTTTTAAAAGCTTTCTTTTCTTCTTTCTTTTTTTCCTTCTTCTTTTTAGATTTTTCACTTTTAACTTCAGGAGAATCTAAAATAAATATTTATTACAATTTATGATTGTACATATAAACTGCTGCGCAAGGAAAGTGAGAAAAATATTAATGAAATTATTATATGATTAAAATATAAATTAAATACATGTAATGAAATATACAGAAATTTATAAAAATATATATACTTTTTACTTCAATGAATTTGTTTATAGATTGTTTTGCCTAATGCCATCATTTTAAAACTTTCACTCTTCCAGTAATGCTAAATATAGAGTAATATCAACAAATAGTAAGCAAGATTCCATGTTTCTGATGACCTTTATACCCCTTCCCACTGAACACCTTTGAATGTTCATTTCTTGCTCGCTCATTTGCCTTCTGGCATTCCCTCCCATACATTATATACCAAGCTTCTTCCCTATCCTGCTTTAAATATATTCTTTTCCATTATCTTCTCACATTCTGACAGATGCTTTCATGAAATTCTAATTTAAAAATAGAATATAGATTATTAGTATAGAGTAAAAAATTATTCTTCGTCGTCTTGATTCTTTTGATATCTTTAAATTTATTCCAAATCATCAATTCAGTTTCAGAAAGCATCATTCTACTGTTCAACAATGCCATTGGTTAGTTGATTATATTTCTAATTCTTTAGAATCTAAAAATTATTGTCCTGGAGTTTTTCTTGACATCAGTCAAGCTTTCTATAAAGTTTGGCATGAAGGATTGCTTTCCAAACTTAAAATTTTACTTCCTCCCACCTATTATTTAATACTACTCTCATATTTAACAGACAGACATTTTGTAGTAAAAGTAGGGACAGAATATTCAGACATTAAATCTGTAAAAGCAGGAGTACCTCAGGGTAGTGTTCTGGGACCAATATTGTTTAATATATATATGTCTGACCTACCGCAACACAGTGACACCCTACTCGCTACTTTTGCTGACGATACCGCAATCCTCAGTTCAGATAAAAATCCTATTCGAGCATCCACCACTCTTCAAAACCACTTGAACGATATTGCTGATTGGGCCACAAGGTGGAAAATTAAAATGAATGAAAAAAAAAGTGTGTACGTAGTATTCACTCTTAATCATACCCCTTCCCCCGAAATATATTTTAATGACATTGAAATTCCTGCATCCGAGGTAATTAAATATTTGGGTTTTTACCTCGACAAAAGACTAACTTGGAGGACACACATTAGACAAAAACGTATGGAATTAAACAGACGATATGGTCTTTTATCTAGGTTACTTGACAGACGTTCAAAATTATCTTTGACTAACAAACTAACACTCTATAAAGTTTTACTAAAACCAATTTGGACTTATGCCATAGAACTGTGGGGTTCTGCTAAAACTTCTAATATTAAAAAAAATCCAGTCTTTCCAATCCAAAATTTTACGAAGAATAGTTGACGCACCATTTTATGTCGCAAACAATAGATTACATAAAGACTTGAACATCCTAACAATTTCAGACACTGCAACAAAAAAAACGCAACAACTTTTACCAAAAACTAACTTACAACACAAATCCTCCGACAGAAAACCTTAAAAGCACTAAAAAACCGTAGAGCCCACCTCGACGATTACGTAGGCGGTGGCCAAGAGACCTACTGAACTTAACTATTTCCTGGATTGTAATGGAACGTTGTGAAGCTACCAAAAAATTTGCTCATTGCAAAGAAATTTGCAGATCGCAAATTTAATTTTTTATGTTCAATTTTATGTTATGTATTAATAATAAATAAAGAATATAGATGAGATGTGAATAATAGTTTTAATATTTTAGTTTAGTTTTAATATTCTAGAGAACCTTCGAGTGAGGATTGAGGTATAACCTAATACATGGAAGATAATATTGCGAAAAACTACCATTCAGGGATGGAACATCTTATGGGTCACTACCACTAAGGAGACTACTTGACTCTAAGGAAGTATTTCACCATCATCCAGTCTAATTGAAAGATGGGTCCAACTTGCCTAATGGTTCTCAATTCCTCACCGGACAAGTTTTCGTGCCAAATTGCACTGTCTAGGAAAGGATACTGGCACTGAAGGCCAGCTTAAGAGGAGCACCGGTATCTATAGCCTTAATGAAAAAAAAGTTTCTATACTCGTTTCTGGTGATAATTAGCCTTAATAAGAACCATTCATGTATGAATGGAAGGAAATAGTAGGCGTAACCCATTTAAATTAGACTAAGGCAAAGAAGGAAGCAACTGCTTAATCTTATGAGAAGACAAAATTTTGTTTTAACTTCAAGGATCAATTCATAATTTACACTTTTATTTATATCAATTTCAATAATATTTATTCTAAAGATGATTTTCTTTTTTTCTGTTTATGTAATTTAGCTTTTGATAATGTATAAAATAATTGAATTTTATTAATGTAGTTTTCACTATTTCATTCAGCTATGTTTTTTATTTATTTGTACTTTTTTTTTTTAATTCTTAAAGCATCCGAATAAAGTTTGTTTTCAATTATGTTCTATATCTAAAGATAAAACCTATGTTTATATGAGTAATCTAATTACAAACAGAGACAGGTACACTTAGCAAAATTTTCAAGAGCATGCAAGAGTCTTGTATTTTAGAAAAATACCAGTAATGGAACTATTTTTTATTTTATTGAAGGAAGTTAGTCGACTGTTCTACATATCATGGGTGATAAATATTCAGGACGCAGTCATTAAAAACTTTATAATGACTGCGTCCTGAATAATTTATCAACGATATTTTTTATTTTATCGAGATTTTACTTACTCACTGATACCACAGCCCTACACCTTCTTCACAATTCTACTCCACTCTTCCCAATCCTGGGGTGAACCTCCTCCAACCATGTTGGGGGTAGAGCTCAGGCTAAACAGTCCAATATTTTTTTTTTTAGACCACCTTTATTCTCGATTTTGTGATCAAATTATCTTACGATTTAAGTAGAAAGCAAATGAGTTTTCATGAGTTTTGATTGCGTAATTAAATAGACAAAGTTTGCCGATCTCCAGATTCAAAATGCCATACATCCTCCCAGTGGGTCGAGCTTCCAGAATGTTTCGCGGATCTCTCTCCTCCTCTATCCGACAAACATGGCCAAACCACTTCAACTGTCAGTTTTCCAGTAATGTCCTCCGTAGGTGCGTATACCTGCACTAAAGTAACTTTTCCAACGGCCAACACAAAATTTGCAGCAATTATTCTTGATGAGATAGGCTCCCAGTCTTCCATTTGTTTATACATCGTTGGAATCATAGTTATTTATACATACTCCTTCCTTCGCGAAGTTTCCTTGAGGAACTCCAGCATATATAATGGGGCTGTGACAAGATGGTGGTAATAATTTTGCAAAAATGTCTCCCATTCTTTCTGGTGGAATTTTTTTTTTTTTTTACGATTTTACATTTTATTTGGATGTAAATATGTAATTAAAATTTAATGTGAAGTATTACATTAAAAAATACAGTAGAAATATAGAAAATCTTTAATTGACAATGTCCAGAATTTCATATTAATCATCGTTAATGTTGGTTGGACATTCGCAGAGATAATCAGTTTTGTTTTTCGGCAGAAAACCCGAAATTGAAAATTTGACCTGATTACAATACTTTTCTTAACTAGTAATAGGGAAGTAACAACTTGAAAATGTTTTTCTTCCTCGGTTATCTGTGAAATAAAATAAATGAAGAATAACAGGTAGTTAATTCTGAGCAAATTACTTACTTGTAACCACGGGTAGATGATACTTTTCTAAATAACGTAACGTAGCAACTGACAAGTTTGTGTTGTTAGCTAGGCCAGCTGTGCATTTATCTACACTTTTTGGTGAGCTCGATTCTGTTAAAACATACAACAATGAGGTAATAATTCCATGATTATGAATTTTCGTAATAAATAGTATCTCATTATGGTAATTGGAAAGCTATTATTACCTAGCAATCAATTATATTTTTTATTACTCATCAAATAACAAATTTTTCAAAGACATTGTATAGCATGATTGAAATAAAATTAATTCCTAACAAAATTAATTAAAATGTATTAATATAACTCTTAATTTTCCCCCCTTCTTTTCAGCTATACGTTTTTTTTCCTGGGCCAGGGGAAAGGGTGGACAATTAATGCCAGAGTTAAAAGTCCCCTGGACACTGGCATTTGAACTGATAATCTTTGGTTTAGCAGATTGCCGGACAACGCATATTTTTGACTCACACGTTAGCCCTCTAGGCCACCCCACCATAAATAATAACTCATACTAATTTTAAATCATAATTTTTTTTTTAAGGAATTGATTACTAGACACCTATGGTTGTTCTCCCTAGAAAATTTTAAGTATAAGCAATAATGGAAAAAAATATAATATGAGACTTATGTTGCATCATTGTATTGGTATCTTACGTTGGAATCCTGATGGTGGAGGAAAATTCTAAAATGTATTTGTATATTAAGATATAATAAAAAAAATAAAAATAAAATAATAAAAGGCTTAGCGAACCCGAAGGTTCGATGCAGACACCACCAATCTCTCATTACACACCTCCCTCCATCGTTCGTCGTCCAAATCTAGTCCCTTCAAATTGGCTTTAATGCAATCTTCCCACCTTTGCTTCGGTCTACCCCTCGGACATTTACCATTCGGTACAGCAAATATTAACTTTTTAGGAATTCCCTCGTTACTAAGCCCAACAATTTTGCAGGCCCATTTGATTCGCTGGGATGAAATCACCTCAATTATATTACCCGGATATAGTTCACGCAACTCGGCGTTGTCTAACCGTCTGAATTCTCTGGTTAATTCGTCCTTCTTTGGTCCGAATATTCTACGCAATACTTTATTTTCAAAAACCTTAAGTCGTTGCTCATCCCTTAATGTAAGTGGCCACGTTTCAGAACCATAAGAACTGTAGGTAAGACAATGGTTTTATAGATTCTAATTTTTAAGTTGCAGGACAAGAGGTGCGAGCTAAGTAGTTTTGTCATAGAAAAATAACAAGCATTTCCCGCCTTCAGTCTAACCTTAATCTCCTCTTCAATTTCATTTTTTCTAGTTACCGTAGACTCAAGATACCTAAACTTCTCTACCTGTTCAAACATATTACCATCTATATCGATACCATCATTTTTGCAGCTAACCGTATATTTTGTCTTATCCGTGTTAATTTCGAGCCTTAGTTCTTTACTGACATTCAGTATTCGCTTAACAGTACCAGATCATCTGCATAGCCCAGCACGGGTGTTGTCCCACCCAGATCCAACACTTTTTCGGTACGCATTACCTCCCTAATGGCAAGTTCTAATGCCAAATTGAACATGACAGGCGAAAGGGAATCCCCCTGTTTCAAATCCGAACGAACCTCAAACTTTTCAGACAGTTTATTACAGATTCTAACTTTATATTAAGACATTACTATGGAATAATTTTTTCACTATATAAAAATATCTGAGCATATTTAGTTATACATCCTAATAGTAAGAAACTATATAATGTCTAGAATTTTTATTAATACTAAGGGAGTACCCCCTGTCTGCCTATACAACTGTTCATTTAATGGTACTACTCGTTGCTCAAATTGTATAACTGTAATTTAAATGTATTCTGCAGTTCAGATTGTATTATTTTTTATCAACATGAAATTAATGGAACAAAACCACAGTTCGGACAATTTTTTAATTTCTTTAAAAATCTATATTATACATCGCCCTTTATTGCCAATTTATATTATTATATAATTATAATTATTCTTATTACCAATTTGTAACCATAATAAAGGAGAAATAATTATGGGAATAAGAAATGTGGTGCCTTCGTTACGGTTCGTCCCACTTTTTAGATGTAAAATAAAATATTACACGGTCAATAAAAACTTTTTCATATAATAGAGAGATGTATTGACAAGTATTTAAGTAGTGGTTACAAAAATAAAAAATATCTGATAACATCAGTTGTACATTCATAACACTAAACAATGAACTTTAACTGGCAGCTGTGTAAAATTTACAAAAAAAAAAAAAAAAAAAAAGAAATGGATTTGTCCGGTTTTGCAATTTCATGTGAAGAATAAAAATAAGATAGAGATGAAATTTTCCATACCTATGACAGCCTTGTCCTCTTGTAAATATTTCATGGCCAAAGCATTCATTTTCATACTAGTATCCGATTCGCCAAGAAACAACTTCTGCTGCTGAGGAATATAAGCTGCTTCATTGAATGTCACCCTGGAGAAAAAGTTACATTAAAATTTATCAAAAAGTAAAATTTATAAGAACAAAAGATATGTTTAAGAACAATGCTTGTATGATTAAACTTTATTAACAAAACTTATGACTAAAGAACAGATTTATATGCAAATGCATATTTTTTTCAAAAACGTAAGCCGATATGATTACAAAACAAATCTAAACTTTTTGGCAAATTTTTATGAAGTATATTTGGCAAAAATTTGATTTTTGTACAGATTTAGGCTCAAAAGGTATAGATTTTGCATATTTCAATAAACTATTCGAACTTTTCCCACAGATCACAATTAAAACATAATACTGTTCACATTCTTTTTATTTATCAATTTATTCTCTGTCTCATTTAATATAAGGTTTCCTACAGACTCTGACCTCGTTTTTATTTACATTCTTTCTGTTCTGTATGGGTATTTGTGTGTAAACTGAGCGAAACCACAGATCAGACAAATTTTTAATTTCTTTAAAAATCAGATTATATATCGTGCCTTCTTGCCAATTTGTAACCATAATATATATTCAACTCGTTCAGCTTCATATAAGCCCAACAATAATTTGAGCCTTTTATTTCAAATATTTTCATTTTACATTTTCTTGTTCTTCCTTTTATATTTTATAATAATTAAATTATATCACAATATAAAACAAAGAATATTAAATATAATAAAATAATTAATATTTTTGTATTCAAGGGGAAATGTCTAGATCGAAAAATAGCTGGTGTCACCTAGGTAAAATCAAACTACTACCTCCAGATAAAAATATCATTTCCCGTACAAATTTTTAGTCTATAATCTTTATTTTGTATTAGGAGAGCAGGAGCTAACATAAGCTCAACACATATGTAATTAAATGAACAGCTGTATAATTTGTAAAATAATTGCCATAGGAGAGCAACACTATTGAGCGTAGAGGACTGGGCTCCTGTTACCTCCTACTTTTCTTATAGTAAAATAAAATAAAATGTGAAAGTCACTAAAAACTTTTTTATATAGTAAAGAAATATATATTTTATAATTGTTACGTTGTATTATCATTTTTTGTTTCTCGGGAGGTCGTATTTGTTAATTATTAAAAATAATAAACCAAAACATGAGTACTAATTCCAATAGTCCATTTTTGTTATTATAAATAGACCGATTTCAATTTTTTTTTTTTTCTTTTCATTTAGGAGGAAATCTTAAAACCTTTCTATAGTTTTCTTTCCTTTATAACTGTTTGATCCGGACTTTTCTGGGAGGCGTTTATATTTTTTGAAGGAGAAAATATTCTTGAAAATGATTGCTCAATCATAGGATTTGATGAAGTATTGATGAAGATATGACTTACTGACAAAAAGCACCTTTAAGAAATATCATATAAACATAGTTTAGTAATATTTTCAATGAATTATTAAAGAGGGTGTTGCCTGTATTTTTTGTTTCAATACATGTTATATACTTGTATATACATGTTTCAAAGAGAAAAAAAAAAATGAATACGATTGTTGATGTAATTTAGTAAAATCCTCCATTTAAAATAGATAGTCAATTATATAAAATTCCTATGTCATTTATATAGTTTTGTTGATAATCAATTCATTTATTTTGTTTAGAATATTTATTACAGAGTTACAGGGTGGCTACCAGACAGTTAAATTCCCAGACTTTTCCCTCTTTAATGATAGTTTTCCTTGATCAATATGTCTGAGGTCATATTAATAGTGAGAAATATTAAAAATGTATAATTTGATAGGATGTATAAAAAAAAAGAATTAAAAAAAAAAAAGGCCGTTTTCCAACCAAATATTTGTATTATTATTTCTTTGATATTAAATACAATTAATAATCAAAGTATAGTCCATTGTTATCAACTGTCATAAGACATCTGCTAGATCCCACGCTGATACCATTCTTTGAGATGGCTGTCAAAGAACTCTTGGACCGCAATTTGAACTTCCTCAAAATTATCAGATTTTTTCCTTTGAAGAATATGTTCCATGGATCTAAATAAGTAGTAATCCGATGGTGCGAGGTCTGGACTATATGATGGATGAGGTAGGAGTTCGAACCGATGAAGTTCTTTAAACTTTTATTTGATTCAACGGGAAGTGTGAGGACGAGCATTATCTTGCTGAGAAAAAATTCCTTTTTGGTTGATTGAAGGAAGATAACGCTCTGACAACCTTGCGTACATTTTTTCCAGTTGTTCGCAATAATGTTCAGAATTGATAGAGCATCCATCAGTTTTTTTCAAATTGCCTCCTTGCAGCAACCGGATTTTGTTAGTAAAACCACTTTTCATCACAGGTGACAATCTTCTGGAAAATCTCATATCAGAAGGGTTTGTCAATAAATTTTTACAAATTTCTAATCTCTTAGCTGATTGCTGTGGAGTAAGCACATGAGGAACCAGTCAACTGCTCTTTTTCACCTTCCCTATGGTGAGTACATGGTGACTATCAGTATCTTTCGACACATCACATTTCCTGGCAAGTTCACGAGTATTTGAGAACAGATTTGACTTAACAACTTCCTACAGAATCTCATCAATATCCATTAATAGTCGGCCCGGAGCCCTTCTGATTTTCTCCTTTTCCAGGTTGGTCGCCACTCTGTGTTAATAATCAATGCAATACTTGTTTATTTCTTAAGCATCTTTTTGAGTTTAATTTTCATGAAAAATATTATGACTGATAGTAATATAGAAAAATAAAATTACCGTTTATTAGAAGCTGGACTCTCTTCAATGCTAACTCCTAATTTTCTAAGCTGTTCTAAAGTCTTATTGCGTATTTCATTTTCTGATTCCTCGGTTTCCGATTCTGATTCATTCAGCATATTGTTAACTTTACCCTAGAAGTTTAGTTGCAAGACATTAATAAAATTATTAATTATCTATAAATTGTATTATATAGAAAAATTAAAATATCGAGTAGTAAATGGTTGATCGTTGCATAATATTCAAGAAGGAGATGGTCCGGGGTGGCGGCAATAAAAAAACTTAAAATAGTGAACAACTATTTTATTTTAAGCAAACCAAAATAAAATAATTGTTCACTATTTTAAGTTTTTTCATGAGCCCACCCCGGACCATCTACTTCCTAAAAAATTAAAATAATGAAAAAAAAAAAAGAACAAAGGAGTGTTTTAGACCACATGATAAAAGTGAAAACATCAACAAGGAAAGATTCATAATATGAAATATAAATTGTAAATAATAGCTCAATATAAAGCGGAGGAAATGCTGAACATTTCCCTTGCTTACAGTATGCAGGTCCAATTTTTAAATTCTGAGGTATTTTAATCCATATCTTCCATAATCTTTATCATTTGGTTTTTCGACATTATTTTTTCCCTTCTCACCTCTCTAACACAATGTTGCATTAAGATGCAATTTTGAATAATCACCTATTACAGAGAGGATGAAATGCAGTACAATTTCCTCACTTACAGTATGCAGGTCCAATTTTTAAATTCTGAGATATTTTAATCCATATCTTCCATAAAACTCGTTATCATTTCGTTTTCGACACTATTTTTTCCCTTCTCACCTCTCTAACATGGTGTTGGTTTAAGATGCAATTTTGAATAATCGCCCGTTACAGAGAATATGAAATGCAGTAAAATTTCCTCGCTTATAGTATACAGGTCCAATTTTTAATTTCTGAGATATTTTAATCCATATCTTCAATAAAACTCGTCATTTGGTTATCGTCTCTCTAACACGACGTCGCCTTAAGATATAACTTTGAATAATAGCTCATTACAAAGAGGATGAAATGTTGAACATTTACCTCACTAACAATATACAGGTCCGATTTTTAATCCATATGCAAAAACATTTCAATTAGTTGACTCCAGCCAGACTTTAGCCGAGCGTTACACATTGGAGAGCTGATGGCTCAATCTAATTCACTCTCCACAAAAGAAGTGCAAAACGTTTCTAAAGAAATTTCCACTTCAAAAAAATTCCCTCCACTCTTTCTGCCTTTATGAAGACCTATAATGCTGGCACATATTAAAAACTTTTCTTTTTCTTGTTTAATTTCCTTAGTGCCTAAGTAAATAAAGAATTATAATTGTGTAAACTTTTAAACATCTAATTTTCAATAAATTTCAAGATTTTTGATTCTCTTCCTTGAAAAATACACCTTCAACCATTGATTTATATCTGTATCATGATTATCACTTGAATGGATGGAGCGATTTTATTATTATTATTTTTTAAACTATCAAAAATTTTTTAGAAAAACATACATTTTTCTGACTTTAATTCCATCCAGCTTCCTTACTCAGACACAGTCCTGTATCTTAGCTTTCTCTTAGACCAAAGACTGACATGGAACCCACATAGTAGACTCAGAAGACAAGAACTCAACCGACAATATGGCCAGCTATATAGACTTTCAATTGACAACAAACTACTGATCTAAAAGAAACTACTGAAAGCTATTTGGACCTACAGACTGGAAATGTGGGGGAAAACAAAATTTTCTAACATCAAACGCATTCAATCCTTTCAGTCCAAAGTCTTTCGAACAATAGTTGATGCTCTGTTCTATGTAACCAACCAAACCTTACACCATGACCTTAATATCCCATTTGTCCTAGACCTTATAACTCAAAAATTTTCCAAATTCCATCAAAACCTTACATATCATCCAAATCCAATTATATACAATCCCTCTCTAGCTCTATTGATCCCTACAATCCTCAACAAGTGTATTTAAGTATTTAATTTGTTAGATTAGTTTGTTTTTGTTTAGTTTAGTATCTTTTAGTTTATATACATTTACTTTTGGTATTATTATATTGATGTTATGAGCTACTCTTATCACTATTACTATTGTCCTTAAATGTGACAGATTGTAATATATCTCAATAAAGAAATTTCCTAAAAAAGTTTCTGAAGTTTAGAAGATTTGCATTATCTAGGGATTAAAACAAATACATTTTTTCTATAAGAATTTTATTTTTTTTACCCTAGAGGAAAGGATTCCATCCAGAGACATGGTGGCCGAAAGGGCTAATGTCGAGCCGGGGAAGGGAGCAGAGGGGGAAGGGGTCTTTTAACTCTCTGGTATTAGTCCCTCACCCTCACCCCTGACTTCGGGAGACCATGTATAACCTAAAAGGTCTAGAACCAAACAATAAAAAAAATTAGATCCACAAAAACAATTTTTTTTTGCCCACTCTACCTGCATAGCAATATCATATCTTGTCTATTCTATTTTCTTCCACCTCATAAAAAGGGTTATAACTTTGTTATAAATTTAAAAAAAATAATCAACTATGGGAACATATGGGAAAAGCATTCAAGACAATAAGAAGTAAATTCATAATGATGTAGAGATGGTTGACCGTGATATAATATAAGAAGGAGTTGATCGGAAGAAGTAAATTCATTGAATACAGTACAAAGAAATCATAATATAATGATCTCATATTTACCACTACTTTATCATAAAATGTCCATCCTACTGGAGCAGGTTTATCTTCAGCGCTATCTGAATCATCACTGAAAATAAAGAAAATTAATACTATAGAAAAAATCGTTGAACAAATTATGATAATAAAAAAAAATAGAATAAAACATTCCCTAAAAAAACATAAACAATAAGAATTCAACATTCATGGAGATTTGATAACATTTTTTTAGTAAATGTGAAGTTATAATTGAGGAAATAACTACATTTGATTATGAATAAATTGATAACCAAAGGTGAGGAAGCGATACGCTATGATAAAATTATATTATTGTATAATTATTATAAACGACACTATGGCTTCTGTAGTTTAAGAAGTTAATTTTAAAAAGTAAGATTTCAAAATATAATGTTTAAACTTTACTTTTTTTTTTAAATGAAATTTAACACAAGGAAAGTCACTCTGGATCTAAGAGATCTGCTGATTAGTCTTTTTGATGGATAACCACAAATAATTAAAAACTTTAATGAATTTTCCATTTGTGAAATCAGATAATTGTGCATTTAGCGTAACTATATATCTTCAATAAAAGGGCATGCGTCATTTTCATACAAGTACTATGTCTTTTTTTATAGATAAATAGGGCCCAAATTTACAAAAACATTTCCTATATCAATTATTTTCCTTGTAAGTTCTCAATTATTAAAGTTTGAGACATTTATAGAAAATATTAAAAACTACAAACCTTGAATCAGAATCCGACGATGATGTGTAATCTTGCATATCAATGCTCACAGAACCAGTCGGGGAAGGAGTACTTTCAATAAATGCAGGTAAATCTATTCCATTTAATAAAATAGAATCCTCAACATTTCTTCCAGATTTACTTCTAAATAATAATAATAAAAATAAAAGTTTACTAAGTAATTCATTAAACAAAAAAAAAATTAAATAAAATATAAATGAAAATTACCAACTTTTTACTCCCGATCTTTTTCTGGATATTTCGATGTATGATGGCTCTTTCTTTCTCTTCAGATGACACTTCAACAGAACTGGATGTTTCACTTTCTGATGAACTGTCAGGAGGAGGTGGTTCAATTTCTTTTTTTTTCTTTGTATCTCTTTTCTTTTTTTTCTTCTTGACAGAAGTGGTATCAATAAAACTTGTCATAATACCAACTGAAACTTTTTCCATTAAATTTTGATTTTCTTCGATGACTTGCAAATTAAACATTCTTTTCTCCATAGTGCTTTTTGATTGTTTCTTGGATGAATGTTCTTGCTCTGAAAATTTTTGGTTTCTGTCCTCATTTTTCACACTATATTCGATCAATTTTTTAAAATCATTTTGTAGTTGAATTAATTGCTGGTTTTGCAACCACACAATTCTATATAAATCATTGATTTGTTTATTTACATTTTTCTCTGTTCTTTTATCTTTTTTTTGAGGCTTTGTTTCCGAGCCATGGTAGCAATGACAGTTACTTTTTTGTTGCTTATGACGAGAAGAAATGGAATTTTCAAACGTCGGATTGGCATAATTACTATGAGGTCCATCAGATGGCATCATACTACCCATATAAGTAGTTTGATTTGGAAAACTACCTCGACAACAATTCTTTTGACACGGTGCTTTCTCAAATCTCTGATTTTCGTGATGAAATCCAGAATTAAGAGGATGAGGAGTGCATGGTGTTTTCGGAGAAGATTGGAGATGAATAGGGCTAGGTGAAACAGCACAATGTTTATAGGAATTGTTTACAGGTGATCTTCCATGAAAGGCAGAATTTCCATTAGGACTAATCATGTTTTGGTTACTATTTAAAAGGAATCCTGGATATCCATTAGCATAAATTCCAGGCATAGAGTTTTGAATAAAATTAGGATCAAACATCTGTGGATTGTTAGGTACATCTTGCTGAGTATGATGGTATCTCTTAGTTTCAACGTTACTAGGGTTTCCAAAATCTTGTTCAGTATGGTTCATCGCATTATGGTAACCTGAGTTATCCTGAATATACCTAGCATGTGGAAGGTTAGCAGATTGGTAACCTTCTTGTGATCTACCTGGAACAATGGAATGACAATTTTCTAGAGACTGGCCTAATCTGCTTACCATATCTGGAGAAATTCCATTTTCTCCATTTCTATTAAACATTCTGTTTTTGGCTTTCCAAGAATTATATGGCAGCTGTGTTTCATTTGTTTGTTCAGAAAAATCTCTTTTATTATTCGAAGTGGAACTTTTTTCATGTGTGCGGTAATCTTTCCTTTCTAGTTCTTTTTGATAAAACATAGGAAGCAAATTTTCATCACTCTGAAATAAAAACAAAGAAGTAATAATTATCATCAACTTCATAATTAATTTACATGGTAATAATAACAATAAAGAACTTGAATGTGATGGATATTAATATTATTTGTAAGGAACCTAATGAGAAGTGGGTAATAGCAACAACGGAAACTAGCACGGTAAACAAGAAAACATAAGAGTAAATAAAACAAAATTATTAAACTCAATTATTACAGTAGAATAATGAAAGTTTTCTTTCCAAAACTAACTTTGATAATTATAGTATTGTAGAAAAAATAATGTCAGGAATCATCAAAATATTTGTATTTTAAGTACTATTGGCTTCAAACATCTCTTATTTGTTGTTTTATTCAGATTTACTTTTGAGTTAGCATCAAGTTTATTCAAAAGTGAATGGGTAATTCAGAATATAAATAATAATGAGAATCGATAAAGTATTCTTTGGCTTGAAGTCATAAGGAGTAACACTTTTATAAAAATATATTCAAATAGCTAAGTAGATATATAAAATATGACAAAATCAAAAATATTAAAAAGGATTCAAGTTACTGGTTCACAAATGTAACAACTAATTGACAGATGGATCATGATCAGATCGATCACACCATATATTAAAATTTGGAATTAACTAAATGCATACATAAGTGAAAAAGACCCATTGAGAGTTTATCTATTTAGTGAATGAAGAAGTGAACATAGCTGTCAAATCAGCTACTTTAGGAATTTTATCTACAGGATGATCAATGTGATCTAGACCCACCTGTCACTCTAATGTGACACTTGTGAATTAGTAATAAATTCTTCTATTAAATAAACTCATTTATACAACACAAAGCACTAATATTAAGATCCATTAGAGTTAGTACACTGATTTATAATGCTACTGTTAATGCAAAAGGTTGTATGTAAAAATTGAGTTTTTCTACAGAAGAGCATAAAAACCGATTATTTCTTTATGATTTATTGGTATCATAATTGATTTCATACTTTATTTCCCTCAACTATTTTCCTATTTTGAAGACTATTTACTGCAGTTGCATACTACAAAATGTCACCTTTAGCATAAAGAGAATAAATGTGTAAAATTGGTACTTAAGACCTTTGCACTAACAGTAACGATAACTGATATTGTTTCCTTGACATTTTATTTCATTAATTTTGCAGGATATCAAAAATTACTCAATTATAACTGCTGCTGTTGTGGAGGTAAACAATTAATATTAACTTTGATTAATCTGAATAATCTTTCAGATATTTTGGTAAATATGCTTAAAAGCAAACAGCAATAAAAACAATACCATGTATTAACACAGTTAAGATTGCTGGTATATATTAACAAATTTTAATGATACCCAGACTTTCTGTTTCTTATATATATAGTAAATAATGACATTAGCAAATGAATAAGGTTATTAAATAAATAGATAAGTCTGTAATTAATAAAAATAATATGAAATTAATTGTTAATATTATTTATTTTCCATCTCCATAAAAAGAAACTATGAAAATAACCTCATCTTCAATTATGGGAGGAAGAGAAGCAGTGTTTTCAGCATTAGCCATTGTTTAACATTAAAATAAAAATATAAATTTATTTAAAAAAATAATTCGCACAAAAAAACCACTTGTTCACTGAAATCGAAAACAATCGCTTTCCCTCCCTTCATCAACGGATATTTTAAAATTACATCGAGGTCAGCAAAGAAGTAGATTGGGCTTAACGATAAACTTGTATTAACATTGTTCATACAAATCAGTTCTTTATATTTGTGTGTACATATATATATATAAAAACATTTATAATTACAAGAAAAAACAAGTCTGACTTTTAAACAATTTTTATTATCACAGAGATTGTATTAATGATGTTAACAGTATGCGTGTACTCGTATATGCAGTTAGACATCCAATTTCAAATTTCAAATTATTACCAGATTTGCAGAAATATTAATAGTCCATGAAGACAAATCCTCAATCTATTATATCAGTATATGGGTCATTTAAAAAATCCAATCACTCATTAAAAAAAATATATAAATAAAATGTATCACAATATAAATATAATAATAAAATAAAAAATATAGAATTAGGGTGATTTTTATCTTAATAGTAATCTTTTTAGTTGTTTTTTAAAGATAGTAATGTCAGCATTCTTAGAAATCAATATAACCATAGATTACTTTAAAAAAAAAATGATTTTCTCTTAATTATAAAGTTTTCACTTTATTTGGAGTATTGAATTGATGAACAGCGTTTCCACTCACCAAAAGTTTAAAAGGGGTTTGACGAAAACGACCGGCAATGGTTTGTTACCTTCCTCCCTAGACTTGAGGATTTTCTAGGGAGTGTGAACCTGTGAAATGAGGGATTTCATGGGCAAAAAAGCTAACTCAACTTTTGAAAGTGAATAAATTCTAAATAATCATAAACATTACTCAGCGTACAAGGTTTGATTAAAATTGATTTATTATTATATAAAAACTTATACACTAGGAAGTGACGATATAAAAAAATACTCTCAGGCTTTTAATGAAATAATTATTCTCTGGAATAAATTAAAACCAGATCTAGTTTAGAAAAAAGTACAGGAGAGGATCTTAAAGCTGTGTTGCTCCTGGACCCAAAGCAGATTAGAATTTCACTTTTCTTTTCGTTTTAAGTAACTTTAAAAACTTTCTAGTGAGTGAACATCAACATTTGGAGGTCTCTTCAAAAAGTAGTTAAAAACAGCTTAGTATGTTAGTGCCTTTAAGTTGCAGCAGCACTAGAGAGTGAATAATCAACATTTCAGGTATATTTTATTGGATGATGTAATTACAAATTTAATCAAACAATGAACGGTATGCCTCTAAAATATTTACAAAAAATAAAAAAAATTAACTGCTTTTAGTTGTAATTTGACTTTATTATCTCCAGTGATATAAGTGTGATTAAAATTTTGAATGACCTATATACATTATTAATAGTTAAAATACTTGCAAATAAATAAAATCATCTATATAAATATTATTGAATATTTTTGTCTAAGGAACAACTTACAATTAGAATTGATGATACAGAATTTGTATTTCATTTATTTATTTGAATATAAATTCAGAAAATGTAATCAGGTACAAACAAATCGTGTTCTGAATTAGAACCTTGTACTTTTCCTGCAGTATATTCTCCCAAAAGTGCTTCGTTGTTGGCTTTTGCCCGCGCCATCAATTCTGCTTGACCAGCTTCTTCAAATTCAGGATCACCTTTCCATGTCATAATCGCTGAAGCCTAAAAAAAAATTAAATATTAATCGTAATTGCAAATGAACATTTACTCCATCAATCAATGTATCCAAAATACTTTTATTTTATACTGGGAAATAATTTTGTTCAACTTATCCCTGAAGATGATGAGAAAATGGAGGGGTTTACGTCGGAATGAATCATAAATTCCTTGGATACGCAGATGATATAGCTGTCCTAGGAAATAATCAATAGGACATTGATAAACTCGCTAAAACTCTGATAAGAGAGGCAGAGCCAATCGGCCTATAAGTAAACGAAGACAAAACAAAATATATGATAATAAGCCGAAGATTCCACCCCATAACAGGATCTGATTAGAATGAAAATCATTCCCGGGAGTAGAAGAATTCAAATACCTCGGCTCCACAATAACCTCAATGAATGACCAACGGTCAGAAATAGACCAGCGTATAACTTGCACAAACAGAGCTTTCTTCTCGCTTTTAAAGTTATAAAAATCCCGAAAAATCTCTAGAGATCTCAAATCAAGTATGTACAATGCTATGATAAAACCAATTCTAATATATGTCATGTACATGTTTTATGGAAAAGAATATTAAAAATTTATTTCTTAAAGTACTATTGTTCGTGTAATTACATTTAATAGGACTTCAAGGATCACTTAAACACTATTTAATATATTTAGAAAATAGATACATTAATTATATTCAGTTGAGATCATGTTTATGGAGACTTCTCGTTCTGTTAGAGCTTATAGTTACTTTCCATGGAAACAACACGCGTACAATATTTTATTAGAGAAAGTAAAAAAAAAACAAAAAAAAACATGTGTTTCAAATTTTATCAAAACCAGCTGACTGATTGTAATGTAGTTCTCATCCCTCTCTCCACCACCAAGAAGGAATTCTTCATAAATACCAATTATAAATCCTCTTCTCAAAGTATTGTTAATCACAGATAATTTTTGCCCAAATCTGGAAAGCTAGATATTTGAAGTTATGTAAAGGGGGAAAGTTCTCTCTTTATTTACTGTAATCTACCGGCCTAAGATTTTAGATGGAGACAAGTTCGTTCTTCAAATCTTTTTCTAATAAAAGCATCAGTCGAGGGCGGAGTAGCCGAGCGGACTAACGCGTGTGCACATCACCGCCGTTGCCCGTTAATCTGATCAAAGATATGATTTGATAAATTAAGTACGAGTTCGCTTCCCAGTGTTCGATGCGATTTCACCTCTCGTATTTATCCTACATCCGTACCTTCTGGCCCTGGAAAACCCCTGTATAGCCTAAAAGACGAGGAAGGTGAGGACTAATAAAAAAAATAATAATCGGATGCGGCGCGTGCATCACACAACTTTCACTTAGTACCCTTTTCTGAACAGAAATAAGTATTTTCAGACAACGGGGAAGTGAAAGTATAATTTATATATGCTATATTGATTTATATTTCATTGTGGGTATTTTTATTTGTATAAGTACTTTGATATATACAAATTTTAATATTTATATCGCTGTAATCTATGCAATTAAATATTAAATAATGCCAACAATAGCATTTATGAAAACCGTATATGTATATGAACATAATATTGTCGCAATGCTTATTATATTAAGCTCATGTTACATATGGAAGCGTGTTCGAATCTTTCGGGTGAGCTCGGATGCCCTCGTATTCCTTTGGTTCCTGAATTAAAACTATTCTCCGTTACGATCTCTAATATCTCTTTTAGTTAATTATCAAATTCTTTCATATTTCATGTTTAAATATCTTTTATATTGTAGATTAATTTGAAATGGTCGATTGTTTCAAATAAAAACAAAAATCAAAGGTACTTTAGGAGAAGCTAATATTGAAAATTAGCCATTTAAGCTCTGTTAGAGGACATAAATCAGAATAAAACCTACATTTAAAGTTGCTTAATTTTACACTGATATAATGAATTTAATTAAAATCTTTAGAGCCGTTTTCGAGGAAATCGTAAAAATGTGTTCAGCCCATGATATAAAGTGCTACTTCCGCTAATCCGATTTTGACGAAAAAGTTGCGAAAAAAACCTTAAATATGCAATTTAACTTTCGTAAGAATTTTAGTTTTTTAGCTATACTGTTAACACACACACACACACCCACCATTTTGTGGGACTTGGTTATTTCTTCTCAGGGAACCTTAAAACATGTATTTCATAAGATTTCTTTTTTTAAATATTCTACTAAAATACATATGATATGTTTAAATACCTTTTGAGCTCTCCCAAAGGAATGAGTCATTTTCCATGGAACCATAGATTCATTTTCTTTTTTTTTTAGCATTATATGATTTAGTGTTTGAGTAGCATTTTCTTCACTGAGACCGGACGAATGAAACATCAGCCCTCCCAAACCTACCGGTAAACTTTTCTTGAAAGCTTCCAATGTTTGTTCAGCTATCTCTTCGGGTGAAATGGAAAAATTACTACTCATCCGACCAGGTTGGACGAAACTTACTTGTAAGATTGTTGCTTCAAGTAAAACATCAAAATCATTTAATGCTTTTATCAAATTAATCAGTATCTTCTCTAAGACTTTTGCGGCTTTATAAATGTCTTCAGCGCCATCTGGAACTACTTCTACACTTATTATCGGAACTAATTCACATTCCTGTGACATGGCCGCGAATGTGGCTAGTATGTAAGATATTTTTTCAGTATTGTAAAGTGTAGGAGAATTTTCTTTAATTTGGTAAACGCTTCGCCATTTTGAATATACAAAACCGCTTTCCTTATACTTATTCAAACGCGTGACCACTTCATTTACTCCTGTGCCTATATATTCTCCAACAGATCCAAATATTTCTGATATATCACTATCCAAACGAATTCCAACTGTTAATCCTTTTGCTTTAAGTATATCAATGAACTCGACAGCATGATTGTCATTTTGTTTCGTAAATTCTTCTGATAAAACAGCTGCTGAAAATTGTTCTTGTAGAGGAGGTGTGATAAGGAATTGACGAAAATGCCGCCTGTTCTCCCAATGGTTTTTTCGATTGATCAATGAAAGAAAAAAATCAAAAGCTAAAGCGTGTTCGTCCATTACTAACACTCCTTTTTTCGTGTCCATTAGCTCATTTACCTGTTTTACCAAGTTTTTTTGTTTTTCTCGACATTGAACTTGATTCGTGATTTCATTATAATTATTAATAATTGCAACTTTTCTCGTCATATCTCATTAATAGTTTACTTTTAATTTTGGAATAAAAATATAAATAACACAAAAAAGCGAACAGCTTTTTAAATTGGATATTGTTGGTATCATCATGTGAGATTATTGTTTTAATGTATGTAAGCATTGAAAGGGCTTTGTAACCTAAAACAGTTTTTTATTACGTCTGTACCAAATCTTCAAACAGAAAATGATTATAAAATTCAGTTACCAACAATACAAAAATCAATCAGACTGATTTATAACAAAATAAAACAATTATTTACTAACCAACTAAAACATATGACCGTAAAAAAAAAATCTAAACTGCTGTGCAAAATTAACATACCATTTCAAAATGACTACAAAACACACATGAAAAAAAAAAAAAAGAAACACAAGAAACAGGATGGCTAGAATTTTCTGTATTTACAATATGTTTAATACAATATGTATAACTATAATTTTAAAAAGAAACCAAATGAAAATTAAAAAACGGCTAAAATTCGTTAAAGAACCATTAAATTTAACAAAATTTCTCAAGTAACCAAAGGCGCATACATTCCATTCTGATTGGGAGGAGGGCGATGAACCTCTCCCTCCTGAACTTCTCCAAAAAAGTATCAGGAGTTTATATTATGTACGAAAATAATGAATGATAATTAACATAATTATTTTAAAACGAACAATATAATACTTTTTTTTCTCCCCTTGTTAGTCTTTTAGGCTAAACGGTTTTAACTTGAGCCGGGGGAGAGTGAGAGAGGGAATTGTGTCGAGTTAAAAGTCCCACCGGGCGCCGGGATTTAAACTCTTAGCTATTTATTTATCTTAATAAATAAACATCGGTTATCAGATTGTCGGGTACAACCCACGGTGCACACGCTCGGCCACCTCGCCTTTCTACGCATCTGTACGTTTCAGAGCTCCCTGAGTCCAAAAAACACAGTTTTAGCCATTCGTCTGTTTGTCTATCAAGATTTTCTCCGGAACTACTTAACCGATTTTTTTTTATTTTGTAGAGTTTTTACTACTGATGCCTGTGACACAAATTGGATGCCCCAATAGCTGCTGCGCAATAAATGAGAAGCATGTTTTTCTATGGACTGTAGCGCGAAAACGGCTTTAACAATTTTGATGAAACTTTTCTATAATGTTCTAATGATTGTCCTTTCAATTTTCGTATATGAACTAAATTCACGAGAAAATTCAGAAAAAAAAGTTATAAAGAAAAGAAAAATGTTTTGGGGCCTAACTCGCTAAGTATATATTATATGGTAAAAATTATAATGAAACTTTTGAAAGTTAATTAGATTATCTACAAAAAAAAATCATTCTTATTGAACCAGTATACCTCGTTATCGATGATACAGCTTATTCTATTTTCTACACATGTTTTATTTTATTAATTTCCTACCTACACTAGGTAAGAAAAGTATTACGATCGGGTCAAATTCAGATTTTCGACGGATCTATACGTTTCAGAGTCCCCTGAGACCATTTTAATTTACAGCTATTCAATTTCTAATGTAAGATTACGGGTTCCTATCCTGGTATCAGAAAGGGGGGAATGTGAGAGAAAAAAGATAACTATGTGAAAGTAAGAAAATCTGTTGCACGCATCACACAAGCTTCATAGTCTGTGGGCCAGACCCCCTTACCGTGCACTCCCCCCACATCCCTATAAATTGCATATCGTTGTGTTCCTTGTAACAATTTATTAAAAAAAAGCCAATGTTCCCACAAAAAAAAGTGAACGCACTGCCCCAAAATGGCGTCCAAAGATGGCGGATTGACGACTTTGACTTTAGTTAGTTTCTTGGTCACTGAGAATCAGCATTTGGCTTAATTTCCTCATAGTTGGTCTTTTATTAAAGCTGAATAGTCATAGAATAATAAAACATGAAGAAATATAAAAAATAATTGGCTTAGGCTATGAAAAACACCAGTAAAGTCAACTTTTTTAACAAAAAAATTTTCAAGTTTCAAATCAAGCGTCGTTTGTAATTAAACGGTCTACAATAACGCAAAACGTGCTGAAATAAACCATCTGGAGAATATATTTCTCTTTCTAAAACGCTGATTACTTTTTAAAATATTTGAAGCAGTTCCGTAGAAAATACACTTATGCGGCAGAAAAGCGGTACTGGCGTGGGTGCCTACAGGCCTCTACCACACCATTCAGTGCTCATAAATGGCTTAGTTACAGTGATATAATAACATTTTTGGTACATTATATTGGTTTTATTAACGAACAAATATTAATGCAATAATTTAACTGTAAAACAAAAAAATTAAAATTAAAAAAAAATTATTATTATTTTTTTAAATTTAACCTCCTTTATTCTATACGTAGGTCGTTTAAGAAGACCTCAATTGTAAAAATGATATAATTATAATATTGAATGAATTATTCTCTCTGCACAAAGAAAGATAGAAAGGGTGACGCTATAAGTTCTTCTATAAACCAGAACTGATTGTTTGTTTTTGGTCTCAAAATGAGGAAAAACGCGAAATTGAACCAGAAAATTAGAAAAATACATTAAGCGAACGAGAAAGGAACTGCCAAAACCTCGGAAAAGATAAAAAGGACCAGTATCCATTATATAGCTAAATGAATCTATAGTTGAAAGATGAACAGAATATTTCAAGATGCTGCTAAAAGGGGATCAATTGCAGTTTGGATGATATTAAGTGGACGATGTAGGTTTATTATGGTGAAAACCCCTTTATTTTCGATTGCTACTGAAGGTGCACACTGGGACTATCTACACTTTGAAGCAGGATATAGAGAGTTATATCGAAAAAGTTATCGCTCATAGCTCTCCTTCTATTTGATGCAATTGCTAGAGATTTTTGAAGGAATCTTATATTAGTCATAGCTCGTTATTGTTCAGAAATTTCGGAATTTGTACCATATAAAAAAATAGGAAATTTTAATATTTCAATGCATTATTCTCTCTGCACAAAGAAAGATGGAAAGGGCGAAACCCAACTGCTTCGCACAGTTTTGCGCGTACATAGGCAACAAGTATATTAGAAAATGATATGAAAGGACTGTATTTTTTACCTTTACAAGAAAGGAGATACTAGGAAATGTAATACCCACCAAGATCCATTCCTGTTTAGTGTACCAAAGAAATTATACCCAACAATCGTAGAAGCTGGAATAAGAAATATTGTCGATTGCCAGAGCGATATGGATTGAGAAACTCAAGTTGCACATTGGAAGAGAAGTTCAAAATTGGGACTATCTCCACTTATAGAAAAGTCCATATAAAATGAAAAATAGCTCTCTATCTGCTTAGTGCCTCACACTTTGGATTATGCTAATATCTAATTATCTTTCAGAAAAGCTCGTTTTCCTTTTAGTTTTCTTAAAAATCGTTTGCAAATGCACCAAACAGACTAAACTTTCTCGATATACCTATATCCTGCTTCAAAGTGTAGATAGTCCCAGTGTGCACCTTCAGTAGCAATCGAAAATAAAGGGGTTTTCACCATAATAAACCTACATCGTCCACCTAATATCATCCAAACTGCAATTGACCCCCTTTTGGCAGCATCTTGAAATATTCTGTTCATCTGTCTACTATAGATTCATTTAGCTATATAATGGATACTGGTCCTTTTTATCTTTTCCGAGGTTTTGGCAGTTCCTTTCTCGTTCGCTTAATGTATTTTTCCAATTTTCTGGTTCAATTTCGCGTTTTTCCTCATTTTGAGACCAAAAACAAACAATCAGTTCTGGTTTATAGAAGAACTTATAGCGTCACTCTTTCTATCTTTCTTTGTGCAGAGAGAATAATTCATTTAATATTAAAATTTCCTATTTGTTTATGATATAGTCCAACTTCCGCACAAAATAAAGGAAATAAAAATTAATTTTTTAATTAGTGATATATGAGTTTTACTAAACAACCCGCCAGCTATTCATTATATATAGTTCATATTAGGTATATATTATTTTAGTTTATAAAACAGGTATTAATATGGCTCATTTCCTGGGAAGTATATAAAAATTTTAATTACCTCTAAGATTCAGTAAATATACAAAACACAGTGTTAAATTGCAAACGTTAAATAAAAAAAAAATCAAGATATTTAGCAAAGTATTTTTTAATTAAGTTTTATTATTATAATTATATCATTTTTACAATTGAGGTCTTCTTAAACGACCTACGTATAGAATAAAGGAGGTTAAATTTAAAAAAAATAATAATAATTTTTTTTTTAATTTTAATTTTTTTTTTTACAGTTAAATTATTGCATTAATATTTGTTCGTTAATAAAACCAATATAATGTACCAAAAATGTTATTATATCACTGTAACTAAGCCATTTATGTGCACTGAATGGTGTGGTAGAGGCCTGTAGGCACCCACGCCAGTACCGCTTTTCTGCCGCATAAGTGTATTTTCTACGGAACTGCTTCAAATATTTTAAAAAGTAATCAGCGTTTTAGAAAGAGAAATATATTCTCCAGATGGTTTATTTCAGCACGTTTTGCGTTATTGTAGACCGTTTAATTACAAACGACGCTTGATTTGAAACTTGAAAATTTTTTTGTTAAAAAAGTTGACTTTACTGGTGTTTTTCATAGCCTAAGCCAATTATTTTTTTATATTTCTTCATGTTTTATTATTCTATGACTATTCAGCTTTAATAAAATACCAACTATGAGGAAATTAAGCCAAATGCTGATTCTCAGTGACCAAGAAACTAACTAAAGTCAAAGTCGTCAATCCGCCATCTTTGGACGCCATTTTGGGGCAGTGCGTTCACTTTTTTTTGTGGGAACATTGGCTTTTTTTTAATAAATTGTTACAAGGAACACAATGATATGCAATTTATAGGGATGTGGGGGAGGGTGCACGGTAAGGGGGTCTGGCCCACCGTGTATCACTATTTCCTTCATATACATTCACAGGAAAGTTAATTTAATTCATTTTTTCTTTTTTTTTATTAAGGACATACATAAAGATATAAAAACTTTTCTGAAATAAGTAGAAAAGTCGTGT